AAAGAGACAAAGCAGCGTTAAATTGATTTTGCAATTATACACTCTACTTGGCAATTTTCTTTTGGGGACTACAACAGTAACGGTACTTTTTTCCTTTACTTTACTTTACTTTTCATTTCAGTTTCATTTCTTAGCACGTCGTAAATATGGCGCGCATATGTAACACGAAATTCTAAACACTTGACCATAATTCCGATTTTCCTTCCACTTTTTACCCCAATGGTTGAGGAAATTTCGTCTAGGCGTGTGAGTAATTTTTAATGAGTTACATGCTGTAGCGTCCCGAATAAAAAAAAAAAAAAAGAAAAGGGAAAAGAGATTACCAGGCGAATTTTTAAATAGCGCTCTCTCGCATTGCACATAAAGTTTCGTAAGGTTACGGACAAATACCGAATGTGTAAGATCGTGACTCATAAGAGAGTAACGTTTAAATTAAAAAAGAAAATACTTACTGCGATTTTCAATTTTAATTGATATGCAATTAATTTTCTTTTCTTATCCTTTACTATCAAATATCTAAAATGATTGTCAGCTAAAAAGAAAAAAAAAATATACTATAGTGTGTTTTTATGGTACTATAATAAATTTAAAAAAAGAAAAAAAGAATTAAAAAATCGAACGGGAAATGAAAGATCGTATAACAAACGTTCGAATATACGAGCGTTGAAAATGATTCTTTTAAATAATAGAAAACGTGCTAATGGTCTATTCACAGGTCAAAACTATTTTGTGTCTGGGAAGTAATACATAAACTGTGAGAGAAAGAAAAAGAGAGAGAGAGAGAGAGAGAGAAAAAAAGGGATGAATGAAAGGACAGTATTAAAGATTGAAACCAAAAAAAAATAGCTATTGTACTCTATAGGAGACCAACCATAAAAGATTGGGACAATAACAAAAATAAAACGGTTTCTACAAATAAGAATATAATCGATAGGTGAGGAAATAAATAAACAGGTAGATTAGAGTACAACGATCTTATAATAAAAATGTCAAAACATGACTTTATTCAAAAATTCCCAAGGGAAGAGATACTAATAGATTGTTTAAGACCCAACAAGGGTTTCTTATAAAAGAGGAAGAAATGTTATTTCAAAGAAAAGGTTACTATCTATTCTTTCGGTAGACTATGTCCATCATAGCGTATAATACTTCCTTAAAAAACCCGAATAAACGTGTCCAGGCTTATTCGAACTAGGCCACCTGCCTACCACCATAAGACGGTCGCATATGGTTCGCATATGGTTCGCTAAAGTGGTTTGCCTTCTTTTAAATGTTTTCTTCTCTTCATTACGAGTAGTATAAATGAATGATGAATGCAACCCTACGTTTCTATAATCTATCTTATCGTAAACGTTCGTTTCTCTATAATCTTGAAGAAAATACGAAGAATAAGCATGTGTATATATACATACATACATATATATATATATATATATATAAAAAAAATGAGTAAGAACGAGAGAGAAAGTTAAATGCAAATGAAAATTTTCTATTTTCTCAGCACCCTGTGTCGATGATTTTATTAAGAATATATAAGATTTCAAGTGCTTGATTATCGATCGTTCCAATTAATACATTTAAAAGATCACGTTCTAGTTTGAAGGATTGAAAAGAAGAGTGGTGGGACAAGGAGGGACAAGGAGGGGCTGCGGCGGCCGAAGGAAAAAACAATTTTTTAACAATATATACCGGGTGTAATAGTTAATAATTCTCTCTTTGTTCGAGCACGAGCCCGAAGAAAAAGGTAAAAGGGAAGAAAAAAAAATATGAATAAAAAAATAACTGGCTGCCGTGGCAAGTTCGCGACAAAATCATAAGATGCTATCTTTCACATCGTTCAAGGCAGCTGCGTCCGGCAAAAGCCACGCGAGCGAACCCATGCCAGTTGTAAAAGTTCCTACGTTATTGTAACCCTCGTTGCACACGGATCTTCTGACTCTAACGTTTTCTTTCGTAGTGTGTAAACGTAGTAGGTAGGTAGGTAGGTAGGTAAAAGCAAGAACGTAGACCAATGATGACGAACAGAAGTATGACCTATGGCTTTCGTACTTTATATATACGAAATATCATTAAGTAAACAAAATATTTAAAATTTATTCAAGCTGTTTCGATAATAAATCTATTCTTATCTATTCTTATCTATTCTATTCTATAAGAAAAGGAAAAAGACTCTTAATCATTAGAATAACGTAACAACATATTAAATAGAAAACTTACTAAAAGAAAAAGAAAAAAAAATGATGACCTTTTCTCGTACATATTTATCGAAGATAAAATCGTATGATCAATAAATATATATATCGTTAATCAAAAATAAATTTATTATTAAAATTATATATCAACACGGAAATATATAATATGACACACAATGACACATATATTAAATATAATTAAATAATTCTATCCCTTACATTATATATATATTCTAACTTGCGTGCAAAGGAAGTCAAACGAAATCTCGAACGAATATAACATATGCGTTCCAAATTTTCAAGGCTTTTCTTAATAGTCCTGTAAAACCATCCCAACGTGTATTAAATGGCACACGTGTAACTTCAAATTTTGGAAAATAACGGGAACAAAAAATACGAGATCGCCTCTAATAGTACACACACACACACACACACACATACATACATGCATACATACATACATACATACATACACATGATATTAAGAAAACGAAGAAAGTAAAAAAATAGAAAAAAAAAAAAAAATAATAAAAAGAAATAGAAGGAAGAAAAAGGATATCACTGTTTATCACGAGCGTATCGCATTTCTCTGGTTGTATGGCCGGACGGGCACACCATGAATCGTCCATGTATTTCCTCTGACAAAGGAAACGACGAAGGGTAACGGTGTAGGTGGAGACGTTAAGTAAAAATGTGTGTTTATACGTATATGTGTGCGTAAGAGAGAGAGAGAGAGAGAGAGAGGGAGAGAGAAGAAGGGATAGAGCGCGAACGTATGGCTCTTTTGTTTAAAGTGTTCTCTTTATGTGTGTCAGATAATATTTAAGTCCCTCTATGCATTTTACAATTACCAAGCGACCTTCGTCTACTTCGAGTAGAATACACATTTGCTTTATTTCAACTATCGTATCGTTGAGCAACAAAGTCAATGTACTTTATTTCTACTTAATTTCTCGTTAACGAAACAAATATAATGTGTATGCGTGCGCGTATGTGTATTTGTATATATACGTGAATCATCGTATCTGGTCAGTATTTAAATTTATCCTATGGTATATCTTGAAGGACTATCACCGATTGATCGATCGAACGATAGAAAAAAAAAAAGTAAATGGTATTCTATTTTTTAATTACTCATATCTCTTTACGAATAATCCATTTTTACGTGTGATTTATAAAAGAGTGAAACGTTATTAAAAGATTTAGATTTAAAAAGAAAATGATTTTACGGTACGCGTTATAAATCTTACATAAAATGTATTCAACAAATTTTGGAAAAAAGTATTGGTTGCTTCAGGGTTGCATTGCAATTTTTTTCTTTGTTTTTTTTTTTGTATAAATGATTTATGAATAAAATATATCTGGAAAAAAAAGGGAAAAAAAAAAAAATGAATTTACGTGTAGAGCAAACACAACAACGCGATAAGCAGTAATGTTTCATGGAAACAATGTATCATTTGTTCAAACCTTGTAATGTTGTCATTCTAATCGATATTTAAATTATATGCACGCACTTTTGTACCTGTAAATAAAAAGTTCTAAAAATAAATGATAATGACAAGAGTATCTATTTATTTATCTTTAAGTAAATGAAAATAGAAAAGATAATGTATGTATGACAAGTATTGTACCAATTTTTTCGTCGTATCTAGTAACGTCGTCGTTCGAATCGATATTTTAAGTTACATACGCGTACGATATATACCTGTTAACAAAAAAAAAAAAAGAAAAAAAGAAAAAAAAAAGAGAGAAAGAGTTACTAAAAATAAGCAAGGAGGACGAGGATAAATCTATTTGTTTATCTTCAAGGAAAAAATAAAATATATAGTTATACGACGATATCGAGTGATAATGGTGGTATTATACCATTTCCTTGATTTCAATTGAGAAGAAACAAAGAAAGAAAAAAAAAAAAAAAAAGGAAAATAAACTTTAGCAGAATGGTGTCTCTCGTTGATTTACAATTCTAACGTAAGAAACGTAAGAAAGATAATAGAGAAAGATACGGCAAAAGTACGTATGAATTAATTTTGAAATAAGAACGTACGTAACACGTCCAAATAATGTGCAACGACGATAAAACATTATTTTTCTTTCGAATGAATCGTACGCGTGTACTATGATAATGACAATGAGACGACACAATGACGACGATGACGATGAAGAAGAAGAAGAAAAATAGAAGGAGAAACAAGGAGATCTTTTTCGCGCAGCCTCGATTTGCCGTGTAGGGCTGACCGAGACAGGGCACCTACTACTACTGCGAAGGTGAAAGAAGACGAAGGAAACTCGAGAAACGAATGATAGAAAAAGAGAGAACTAAAGACAGTAGTTGGACTCTCAACACGAGTTTGCGAACACGTCGACCGATTCGTACAACGTATATACCGTACGTACGGTAGATACGAGCACCATTTCCGGCGTGCGTTCCGTGGCATAACAAATGCCCGCCGGAGGGCGTATCGATTCGTACAAAATATTCCTGACTGTAAGTGTGCAATGCATTAGACATGGCACACACTTTTCTAATGTTATAACTTTTTATTCTAATCTTCCTGATAATGACAAGAAAAAAAAAAAAAGTATATATACTTTTCATTCTATATATCTCTCTCTCTGTCTGTCCGTCTTTCTGTCTATCTGTCTATCTGTCTCTCTCTCTATCTTTCATTGAATCTCCTTCTCTAGCCGCTCCCTCCTCTTCACGACCTAGCACTATCGACTACAGAGAGGATGGTGGTCGTGTCGTCGTCATCGTAGTAGTTGTGTCACAGTAAAGAGGAAAGAAGAACACACTGCTTTTCCTACCGTATGGGGTAACACTCCCGCGTTGCCGGCATGACTGTGGATGATGTCGTCGTTCTTTCTTTTGTGCGAGAACAGCCAAGAGCGGAAGACAAGATGTGACGACGACGAAAGCGACGACGATGGTGAAGATGATGATATATACACGATCACTGTGGTGTGCGCGCGTTTCCTAATGGTGTAGTAGCAGCAGTAGTAGTAGCGTAGTAATAATAGTAGTAGTAGTAGTAGTAGTAGTAATAGTGTAGGTGGATGGATGGATATACTTGGATGGATGAAGGCGAACGATATACGCGTGTGTGTATATATATGCACAGACTGCTCGGTTGAAATGTGTCGCTGCTATAATAGTAGGACTCACATACGTATACGACGTGTAGATAATATATATATATATATATATACGTTCTATATAACCAGATACACTCACGCACGACGAGAGAGCACGCATGCACGCGATACAGGCGTTCTCCTCGGTGACACTTTCACACACACGCGCGCGCGTGCAGATTAGTCAACGGAGCACACTAACTACAGAAATAAGACAACCGCCACCGACGGCGTCGCGCGACTAACTGAGCCGACCGCGGCTCAGTAGAATATAAGGGAGAATATAGAAGGAAATGTGTGGAGGGGGGTACGTACAGAACGTATCATTGGAGGGGAGGTCGGTCACTTGGTGGGGGCGAAAGCTACCTCAGGGACGCGATTAACGGTGCAAGGTGCCCCGGGTTTTTCCTTTCTCTCCTCGTTTGCACTACCACTTCTTTTCCCTCCGTTTTTATCAACGCACATCTTTTTTTTCTCTCTTTCTTTTCTTCTCTCTCTCTCTCTCTCTTCCTTTCTTTTTTCTATATTTATGTTTTTTCTTCCTTCCTTTCTTATTCTTCCAAATGTGATCTTTTTCTTAACCAATTAATGCATAGACGCTTTTACTATTCTCGTCGAATCGATCTTGAACGGAATAAACAGATTTCGCCGTTCTATAAGGAGATATTTTCATTTATTAATTTCTTGTGGATATAGGCCCGCGTACTTTTTTTTTTTTTCTAAAAAAGCTCAATAAAGTTAAACTCACACGAGAGAGATAGATGCGTCTTTTCTCTCTTTTGTCGAGCGGTTTTGAGCTTATTCGATTAAGTGGATCGATGACAGAGGAGTGCGCTCGAGCGCGTGACTTTTCTTGCCAATACACACATTCGTGCGCGTTTAGTTCTTGGCGATCGTACGTACGTTTAACGCTTTCGTCTAAGAAGAGGGGCGGGGGGAGGAACAAACAACAAATGCATAACTTTTGAAATCCGTGTACTTTCTCTCCTATGCATTTCCTTCGGCATAATATATATATATATATATTTATGTTTCCACGATTATTTTTAGAAAAAAGAGCTTTTATTTCGAGATCTTATGTAATATATAGAAACATGACGTCGTTTAAGAGAGTATACTTCTCAACGACGAACAAAGTAATCATCAAGTAACAGGAGAAGCAGCACGAGACGCCTACATCCAATAGCTAGCTAGCTAGGTCGTTCGTTTGATCATCGTCCTTAGTTTGGTGTCTCATGACGAAAGCTGCTTCTTGACTAGGGAAATCCTCCCTCCTCTCTCCTTTGAAATTCTCTTCGAAGATTCCCACGGATGCTCTCGGGACGACTACATCCCTGAGACCTTATGAGAAGGATATATAGAGAGAAAGAGGTCTGGAGAGGGAGAAGATGTTGAGGAGGGAAACGAACAGAAGAGAAGAGAAGAGAAGTGAAGAGAAGAGAAGGGAGTTAATATCAGAGAGGAGAGCGGATAGGAAGGAAGATAGGGGCGACCCTAAAGCGAGGGAGTGCTGATGCGAAGCCGCGAGCACACGAAGGGACCTTCAAATAAAAAAGCGTTAGGACCTACGGTGAGAAAGAAAAAGATAGGCTAGCAAGAGAATGGAGAGAAGGGAGATCCCTTCTTCCTCGGGAGAGAGAGGCCGCGCCCACGCGGTTCTCTCGACGATCGTGTGCTGACTCCCCGACTGACACAGCCCTGAGCGACTAAGTAAACACTCCGAAGTCCTGCTATCCAACACACAACCCGTAATACGTATATATGCGTGTATATACATAAATATATATATATATATGTATATACATAAGTATTACATTCGTTCGCCGCGTATGTCTCATATTTTCTACAAGGCTGAATATCCGCAAAGCGTAAACGCGTGCTTTACGTCGAACGGTATTACGCATTTCCTTTTAAACAAAACAAAAAAAAGTCGAAAAGTATAAAGAGAGAAAGGAAGTAAAAAATGAAAAGAGAAAGAGAAAGGAAGAGGAACAGAGGAAGGAAAACGAAGGAAGGAGTTAGCGTAAAATGGTAACGAGATAGGAACGCGCTACGTTTTTCATGTTACGAACCGAGGACGGTCGGTTCAGCAGCGCGTGCGTACTCGCTACTTCGAAATTCCAGCGAGCTGGGCTTCAGACCTGCTAGAGGGCTAGAGAACCCAAGAGAGAGAGAGAGAGAGAGAAAGAGAGAGATAGGACTGAAGGGGAATTCCAGATCGACAAGACCCTCATTCTGGTGGCTTTCTGGACATTACCTACTTCTCTTTCTCTTTCTCTTTCTCCGTTTCCCATTCTCGAAAACGGATGAGGATTTTTTGAACAAACTGTATACTTTATTTATACTGGTCGATGTCGTTTTAACGACGTATCGAATTTCCATGTTCTTCATTTTAAGGTATCTCTCTTTCTTCCCTCTTATATTTCTCCCTCTCTCTCTCTCTCTCTCTCGCCCCTTCTCTTTCTCTTTCTTTATTTAAGAGAAAAAAAGTGGTAACCCCTAACGATCGTTACGTACCTGACAATTGTCAAGCGGATCGCACGATGCTTACACAATACCAAGTTACGTTGCTACCCTCACTTGCTAAGTGATTCTTCTTCTTGCGTACCGTCGTCGTTACGCGAAAGATAGATAGATAGATAAATAGATAAATAGATAGATAGATAGATAGATAAAGATCGTGCAAAGAAAGATAAAAAGAGATAGAACGAATTTTTAAATCGGAATTCGTACGAGGTCGTAGTCGAGGAAAGAGACGTTCTAATGAGAGATTACGACGCGACGACTACGACGATATTCGGAACGAGTGGAAGTCAGAACAAAAAAACAATACAAAAAAAATACCAAAAAATATGTATACGTAGAAGAAAAAGAGAATGGATCACAACAAATCAATCTTTCTTCTCTTTCTCTCGTAGTCCCGATCTGATAGGATCTCGCGAACATTTTTGAATTTGACACATCTCTCGAATATGACGGCGAGGAGCATAAGTCAACGCGTGGCAACGTCGCGACACAGCTGTCATATGCGTCATGCGTCGAGTATCGGAGCGTACACACGAGAGGCCATTCCATGCGATCGTCATCAAACAGTGGAATTGGAGTTTGCCAGAATCATGTTGACCTGTACAAGGTTCTATCGAATAAATAAGAACAAAAGTATATGTACGCAATGCGATAATATCGATGATAATAAAATCTAAAGTGAAATCGAGAAATGGGTGGCGGGATAGGGGGTCAGTCACCCTCCTTACGAACGAAAAACAAATTAGAATTGACAAATAATTATGATATAGAGAAAAATAATACAAGTATCATCTTCTTACTTTCTTGTTCCTTCCTCTTGTTCCGAAAATCTCTCCTCAACGGGAAAGTAAGCTTTGGTGCACACCGAGTGTTCATTTTACGTAACCCACACAACGACGTTCTGTGGTGCCTCGATCAGAACGAGTTCTCCTCCTCCTCCTCCTCTACCCTTCCTCTTTCACTCCCCGGCGCGCTTTATGCGTGGTCCACCGCGGCGATCCCCGATCGATAAGAAAGATTTAAAAAAGCATCGAGTCACGAATCGATCGGTTTGTGAACCATTCATTCGACCGGCTAGCTACGAGAATTTCCTTTTAAATTGCCTGGCTTCCTTCACCCTTTCGTTCCAGGGAATGCACGCGACGAGTCGAAAATATTATTTCGACGGTCGGTCGGTCGGTCGGTCGGTGTGTATGTGTGTGTGTGTATTTCCGAAGGGTGAGATAGGAGGGGAAAAAAGGTATTATAAAAAAAAAAAAACAAAAAAGAAAAAAAGAAAAATAAAAAATGACAGAAAAAGAGGGATAGGGTTGGGTTGCTATCAGCTATGCACCCTTATCAATTGGAAAATTGGTGCGTGTAAGGAGGGGCAGTGAAGAGAGTATGAGAGGAAAAGAGATGAGACGGACGAGAGAGGGTGAGAGAAAAAAGAGAGAACGAGAGAGAGAGAGAGAGAGAGGACAGAAGGGAGGAAGAGTGGGAGATTATGTTTACGCGCTCGACAGGGCCGTATTCACGGATTGGGTGGTATTCGAGGGATCCAACTAGTGAGGAGGGGTTTTCGGCCTCAGCGAGGTTTCCTTCGTCGTTTGAAAATGTGTCGTCGACCCGCATCATCTATGCACCCTTATGAATCGAAAAATGCCTCGCTCAGTTCCTCCTACCAGGGAAGAGGACAGGCAAAAGGGGCTGCTGTTGGTACAAAAGTCAGGGGCGTATCCGTGAACGTGAGGGAGAACGAACGATAAGGTGGAAAGCAACGAGAAAGCTGACAGCGCATGCGTCGTTCCTCTTCGTTGTGGGCGTCGAGTATGTACCGAAGAGAGAACGAAAGAGTAAAAAAGAGAAAGGAAGAGGAAGAGGAGAGAGCGGGGGGTGGTGGTTTGAGGGGGAGAGAGGGAGGGGGAGTGGAAATAGAGAAAGAGAGAGATAGGCGTTGTGACTCCGACGCCAGGACGCGCTCGTATTCTCGGCCACGTTCGTCGTTTCCCGCCTGCCACTCCGAAAATTCTACTTTCCTTTCTATTCCTTTTCATTTTTCTTTTTTTTTTTTTTTCATACTTTTTAGTTTCTTTTTCTTTGTTTGTTTTCCTTCCCTTTCATTCCCGATGCCTCATCAGCGAGGAACACGGAACTCATACGTGGTGAGGTTATCGCGTGATTTCAGCCCACTCGAAAAATCCGAGATTCAGTTTCCCCTACTCTCAACCGTTTCCTCGTGACACTAACGAAACGAAACGAAACGATAGACGAAAAAAATGATATGACACCTTATCGTCGTGCTAAGCGATCGAAAAATATCATTATTTTTGGATTCGTACGCGATTATTCTTAAGATTTGTCTTTTTATTTTTCTTTATCTTTGATATCGGTCCGTTGCCATACATTTTGTATTTTTTTCTTCACAACGCAATGATGTTCGATGTTGAAAATATAATTCTTGCCTTTTTCCATATGTCGTATGTATGGATAGAAGTAAGTAAATAAGTAAATAAAAATACATACAACTGCGATGGCTCGATATCGACGTAAAGATCTTAGTCCGGTGTTAAATTATTGCATCACTAGCCGAGGGACGAGCTATCTACTATATACGTGTTTACGCAATTTCATCAGGTAGAGAACCACCGGTAACTTCTTTGTTGCGAGCCCATGCTTTTGTGTACAGATACATACATGCATTACTTGCATATATATCTATATACATAAGTTAAACAACTCATTGTGCATAGGAAGCTTTCTTACTGAAACACTTTGCGTAAAACGTATTTTCGTTGTTGTTGTTGTGTTCTATATAAGAACAAAAAATATAAAAAAGAAATATTCTCGCGAAGGCGAACAAATCGTTTAGAATTTCTCATCGAGAACAATCTCGATTGATTATATTTTATTGTCTATAGTTTCTTATGTTAATCACTAACTTATTATACAACTACGTTGAACACAGTGTTGCTTCGATTAATTGTCCGACACGT